CAACATAGCCGCATGCTGCTCGACGTCGCGAGAACCTGACGACCCACTCGACCCATCCTTGGCCGACTCTGAAACTGGACCAAGGTGTGTGGGTTGGTGCGGCTTCAACAACCTTTTGTGACTCTTCTTCTCTTGGGTCAACTTCAGAAGTCGTTCACGATGCTCGACCATGTTACCTACAAAAACAAAAACAACACCCTCGAGTTAGCCTCGTTAGAAGGACATAACCAAGATAAATCAAGAAGTAAAAATACAATAGAATCATGCGGTCAGAAACCTAGAAGGTTCACTGCTTTCCTGTATGTATGACACTCGACGAGCGCCTTAGTGTTGATCAGGCGCGCCTCGAATGTAGGTTCGCCATCTTTATCGATAATGTCATTTCCTTCCCTCGTGACCCATCTCGAGGGGAAGAACTCGTCGATGAAAAAATTGAGAACACCGAAGGCCTCTTCGTCCTCGACACTCATGCTGCGGTGGGGTATGGTAATGGTCGGGACTATGCTCGTAGTGGCCCGAGCACCAGTGGATAGGGAATTTTGAGAGTCTTCCAATATCTGGATTCCCATCCCATTCGTAGCACACTTCCCCATCTTCATCCACAATGGAAATCGGATCGAACACAGTATCCACGACCGCCTGTGATGAGGGCTGCACGACGTACCATTTATCCTTGAATTCACGAACATAATCCATATACATATGAAACAACCTCTTCCACTGTTTGAAACAAACCCACCTGTGTTTGCCACCCCTAGACTGCAGTTGGAGGTGGAAAACCCTGAAGAATAAGGGGATTGTCGCCCCGATCCTCAGGAACCGGCAAATAATTTTAAAGGCCTGGATAAAGGCGATCGCATTATGGTGTAGTTGAGAAGGCGCCAAGTTCAAGTGATTAAACACACCCATCTGAAAATCATTAAAGGGAAGAAGAAGCCCTAAATCTTCGAAGACAACCTCATACATGGGGAAATGATCCTCCTCGAATTTTGAGCATATCCTGGCCATATGCATTGGTCGCAGGATCATAAAGTTCCGAAAGAAACCTTCTTGGTCACCGCCATACTCGACAACGATGTATGCTTCCCTTCTAGTACAGCTGAACATCGAGGCCATCCCTCGAGGTTCCTTCCCGACCCACGGCAGTGATGGGTCGTCGATCGTTTTGACCAAATGCATGTTCTCGTCGGTTGCGCTTGTCTCTTCTACCTCTATGTGCTCGGAGGACTCGAGGTTTTTGGCCATTTCACCTGTAAAGAAGAGGAAACCAGTGAATTCGACAGGTAAATCAAATCCACCCTCCCACTGTAACACAAGTGAAAGGGGATAGCTACGCTCAAATCAAGTCGATGGCCCCTTGTGCAGTGAGAAACAAACACGACTTATAAGTGCCACGGAGAGCTGACACACGCCTCATACAACCGCTCGACAGGGAGGAAGACAAAATGAATATTCATAAGCATACATCGGGTATGGGATAAACCCTCCGAACAAATTCATGAATCATGCGGGGAATATATGAATTTGCCAAGAAAATTCATGAATCCCTCGGAGAATAGATGAATTTCACGGGCAAATTCATGAATTCCATAGAGAAAAATGAACTTCACGGGAAAATTCACAAACTCTGCGAGGACCGATGAATTTCACGGGAAAACTCGTGACTATTCCGAAGGGATGTATGAAAACCCCAAGATAAAACCCTTGGGATAGCGAAATCCATCAAAGATTCATCAAAAAGCAACCGTAAATAACAATCGGTACTGGAAAACACTTACTTGATCAGGGAATGTGGAAAGTCCGCAGCGGAGGTTGCGACAGCGTCAACAGTGGAAGAAAAATAGAAAACGGTGTAGAACCAAACGCGACAGAGAGAAAGGAGAGTGGGAATTAGAACGTGGTAAATGAGCCTTGAGGCGCTATTTATAGGGCTGACGTGGAATATGAAGCGTCGCGTCGTACAGTACACAAACCTCCCTTCTCCTTGCTGCCTACGCGCTCAGGTCATAATGGCCCCTACTCCCTAGGCCATAATTTCTATCCCAAAGGCCACACCACGTGACTACCTCCTACGAACCTTTTCCTCCATGCGAGTCAAGGAACGACTGAATTGTTCCTCGTGAAGCCAATTCTAAACCTTGCCCGAGTGACTACGCCTACTGACGACTTCCTCCTTCTGCGCAATGAAGGGCCCCCGGTTAAATTTTGCTTGCCATAAAGAGAAGTTGGATTTGAGTCATAACTCCTTCACCAGGAGTAACGACTTGGGGGGCTCCTGTTCTGGATTGGGCCTGCACTTGGCCCTAACATCATACAAGGCCCAATCCGACTATGCTACATGGGATAACTTGATAACAACGACTTCCCTCGACTAGCTCGGGAAGTAGCCTCGTTCTTCTGGTCGACATGGCTTTGCCTTACAGGGACAACCCCCAAAATGACGAGGAGGGCCAAATACGATCAGGAGGACCTCGCAAGCATACTCTACTCTTGTTGTCAACAAGACAAGTACTCTAGGGACTACCTCACAGCTCACAGGGAAGATCTACGACAGATAGAAGTACCCCATGAGTATCCTCCTCGTAGGGATGACTCTCAACACCTCCGAATATAACAGAGTCCTCTTGGTCCCAAGAAGACCGCATCCATATCCTCCCGATATTTCGGAGGAGTCCATTCAAGTTGGGGACCATGTGTTGGCCCCCACTACGCACGTAGGACCTGGTAGTCTCCACTTTAGGCCTGCTTACCCAACCTAACAATGGGGATCTTGGCCCAGCGCTGGGGGCTATAAATACCCTTTTACTTGAGAGGGTTAGACATTCATTCTCACATTCTTACTCTCGTGCTTTCTTGCATAACTATGAACCTCACTTTGGCATCAAAGTGTCTTGCAGGTACCCCCCTTCCCCACTTCGCATTCAACCGCTGCTCAGCTAGAAGCTTGTCGGCTTTGACAATCCCTTCTGGTCAGGTACAATCACATACTGATGTCAATAAACTTAATGTTTGTTTCCTTTCAATCACCTGATTGTTGTTTCTTGGTAACCTTGCCAATGTTCATAAATTAAAGATGTTTACCTTTTACAATCACCCGACTGTCGCTTCCCAGTAACCCTACCGGCGCTAATGACCTTACTATGGATTTATTTTCCAATCACCCAATTGATGTCTTATGATAACCCTACTGATGTCAGACACCTGGATATCCTTTCTTGCCCAATCACCTAATTGAAGCCTTCTAGTAACCCTACTGATGTTGATAACCTTACCATGGTCTTTTTCCAAATACATGTCTCCTAGTAACTCTACCAACGTCTGTAACCTGAAACGTTTGTCATTCTAATCACCTGGTTGATCCATAGTCCAGTAACCTTACTGAAGCCAAACATTTGCTCCTCTGCAGTTATTTTTCCAAACCTGGTTATTATCTAGTAACCTTGTTGTTGAGTCTTTCATTCATGAATCCCCACTGTGTGTGTTCTCTGCCTTGTACACGAGAAGTCTTATCCCCCTGCGGGGTCCGTATTCACCTTTTTCAAGTACCCTTAGTTAAGCATCATTTCCGCCTTTCATTTGTCTGTTACAGATATGTAACACAATATCTCTTTCCTTTGTGGAAATTTTGCGGAAATATCAGTCTATCACCTGCCAAAGCTTGTTAGTGGAGGCATACAAAAAATCATAAATATATTGACAACTAGTTCTTCAGAGTGAAAACTTTTTAGTTCTTTTAGTATTTAATCATCTTCTACCTTGAATGTTTGAAAGGCTATCACCAATCTCACATTCAGATTTAAGACGATTAAATAGGGGAAACTATTGCACCCTAAAATTTTCCCTCCTGATTTGGCTCTTATCTAACTTAGGCTTTTGCATTCATCTACATACGCTTCCATTAGGTCATTTGCATAAATGGCCATTCATTCATCGCATTTGCATCATTTGTTGGTCATTCATACATTTAGGTTGACCAAAAGTCAATTTAAATCAACATTTGCATCGTTTTAGAGTTAAAAAATACTTAATATCTCACTTCATAAATTTTTATCTCTTTACCCGCTTCATGCATTGCACCAAGTTGTTTATATGTCGATAATATTGATATTTCGGTTCTACAGGCAGACTGTTAAAAGTGTTTCAACATTGTATGAAAAATTAGTAGACAAAATATTTTGAATTTTCACATTTATCTAACTGTTTTATGAATCCGTGTTTCGCATAGATCATGTCGGTGTGCTTGCTTTATTTTTCGGTGCAATTTACAATCTCTTTTTTAATTGTCAGTATCTATTCAGTCGGGTATTCTTATTCTCATTTTTATTTTGATTTTAATTTTTTGCAGTCTTTTTCATTAACCTTTGTCGTATGTAATTTATTTTAATGTATTCATTTCCTTTGTTCGATCAATTAAGTGTCCATTTTATATAATTTTTAATTATTTTAGATATTTTTTTTTATTCAGAAAAAATTAAAAAAATAATAGTGTATTAACTTTTAATCTTTTAATTTTTATGTTCATCTTATACAAAAGGGATGTTTTGGACATTAAAATAATTTGCTAAACCTAATTTTGTAGATATAAGTGATAGATAGGAGTCGTTGTGGTGAAGAGGCCGATTTGTAAAACGAAAGAAAACACCAAAACGAAATCCATTCTTCTTGAGCCAAACAGAACTTCCTCTCTTCATCTCAAGCTAATCCATTATCCTCCGTCGTTCTTCTCCATCTCATCACCTTCGAACCAACCTCAGCCATAACCCATCCGCTATCATACCCTCCGCTCGTACTCCCTCCGAGGCTTCCCCTGTTGAACACGACAACGCCACTGTCCTAGCCAAACCTCCATCTCCGTCAACATTCGTCTACCACAATACAGAGCACCAACTCGTCACATTTCCGCACGCGGTCAGCTCATGTTTCCATAACCTTCCGCCAACTTCTGTGCACTGAACACCATCCACAAGCCAACAGCCTTCATCGTCGGACCCACTTCCTCCATGTTGTCACACCGCGATCGCTCCTTCCACACTCTTCTAACAACCGCTAGCCCACCACACTACCCTCTATTCACACGAAAGCACACGGACCCTTTACACCCTCTGTTCTCCTGCTATCGTCCAGAACATACCAACCGGAACGCTCACCACCATCACACGCGGGCAACAACCTCCAGACCATCTTCAACGCTACATAATTTCCGTCCCTCCACCAACACAGACTTCTGTTCTTAACTTCCGCGTGTCACCAACCGCAATAGCTACCATCCCACTGATATTGTTATGGTTGAAGATTGGGGTAACTTCAAAAGCTTTTTTAACACTTTATTTAAATTTAATTTGTGGTTTTGTTTTGGTTAAATTGAAAGTTAGTGGTGATATTATTGTTGCATTTGAAATTAATTGATGATATTGTTGTTTGTTGTGATAATTAAGTGATAACATTGTCATTGATTTAGTTTTGAAATTGATAATTGATGAGGTTATTGTTGATTTAAGTGTTGAAAGAGGTGGTGATTATTGTTTGTAATTGGAACCTTGATATTGAAATTGAAACTTTGATGATATGATGATGAGCATGTTGTTGTTAAATTCAGGTTTGAAGTTTTGATTGTTTGGTTTAATTTGAATAATGAGTATTGATGATAATACCATGTGATTTGAGTTAATTTGAATGGAGTTTTTAATTTGATGATTATGGTGTTAGCTTGTGTTGCATTTGTGAGGACATCAGGTTGGATTATAATTGTTGTCGATACCATGTTGCCTTAATTAATTTAAGAGATGTTGATGATTTGTTTTGGTTAATTTACGTTGTTGTTTTTGAGTGTTGAAGCTTGGTTTTAATTGTGAGATATTCTCTTTGGTTTCAACTCCTTTTACATTGATTTTTGGGGTATAATGATGCATGTGTCGTTGTTGTCTGGTTTTCAGTTTAGGTGAATAAAGCTTGTTTCAATCTTGTTTTTCATGTCTTGAATATGTCTTGAATATGTCTTGAATAGCAACATGAGTGTATTCTAATTGATTTTGTCTTCTAATGAATGGAATAAGTGTTTGAAGTCGTCTTGAGACTTAAAAGCTTTCATGAGATTTCGGTTTCTAATTGCTTTTACCATTTACTTTGTTAATTCACAATTGATGCTAAGTGTGTTCTAAACCATGTCTTGCTTCACTTCTTCATTCATACATGTATGTTGCTTTGATTGAGAAAAATATTCAATTATACATGAAAATTATGCAAGCTTCATTTGGTTCATTTTAATCTCTCTTGTGTTACTAACATCTTCATGGTTTGTGTAAGATCTCAGGATGGCTCAAGTGCTCACTTTCTCTAAGCACCACTTTGTTGCTTTTAACTAATTAATCAAATGTTGATTTAGTTAGTTGATTTTGTTATTAAAAATTAATTAGTCTTGCTAATCATTTTTTCTTAATTTAATTAATTAAGTTAATCAACTCTTGATTAATTGGTTAAACATTCACTTCATATATCATTCATTCATTTAGCTCTGATACATGGTTCTAATTCATTCGAACTTAGTCCTTTTTTCATAGGAGACATTTGGATTATTCCTCTGTTATTCTGGTTTTGTCTGTTTGTTTGGAGTTTCATCTGACCCATGGATTCTTATCCGATAATCTGAGGATCATCCGATGCTTTGAGTTTTATATGACACCTTGGGTTTATCTGATACTTCATGCTTGTGATTTATTTTCACCTGATGTTTAGTATATTCTTGGTTTATTTTTTGCCTGTGGCTTTAATCCAAAATATGAGAATTCTGTATTGACTTTATTATGTCATGTGTTGGCTTCATCTTTCTTACCTTAGCCTTTACTTTGGCTTTAGGATAGTCTCTTCATCTTCTCTCATTCTTTAATTTTCAAAACCTTCTCATCTTTTTCAAAATCTTATTTTCTTTGTTGATTATTTGTGCTCACATGTACCCTTAGAAGTTTTATTACATCTTGTTCGAGGTGTGAATTAAATAGACTTCAGGTTTTAAATCATGCATGATAACATTAGGTAGAATTTCTCATATCCTAACCTTAGGTCCACATTGCATGCTAACATTCAGGCTTCAGTTTCCTTTAGATTTTTCTTTCCCCTTTTGCATATTTAAGGCTAAAACTTCTTTTCTTAATTAAATGTCAAAACACTTAACAATAATTATGCGAACCATGTGTCACGAGTCTTAAGTATTCGGAGGAGTATGAGGTGGTGCATTTCTAACCTTCTGCAATCTCTCAATCATAGTCTTTAATATGGTTGCCTCTCACCAAATCCTTTCCAAGGTAACAAAAAGACTTCACCAATCAAATCTCTTTTGCCTTTGGGCTTTTCTCTTGAAAATATTTTTAAAAAAATGACATGTTATTTCCATTCTGCGCAATATGACGTGTAAGTCTCCAAAGGTCGAGATGCAATATATCAATTGTTAGAGTGTGAATGTAATATTATCCGTCTAAAAAACACAAATAAGGAAATTCTTTTTTAGAAAAACTACGATGCTTTGATTCTTTTGGGATACGTAGGCACTAGGTCTCACGACTAAAGACGAGCGCAATAATAAAAAACTTTCTTTTTATTTGTATATAACCCTCTGCATTCATGCATTTCCCTTAGCTTGTAAGCTTTAGATAAACACACATTTTGATTAGAATAACAAGAGTGGATCTCGTGGAGTACCATGGACGTGAGGGGTGCTAATATCTTCCCCTTGTGTAATTGACTCCCTTACCCTTGTCTTGGTCTCGTGAGACTTTGATCTCTTCATTCGTAGGTTTTCTTTGATGTTTTCCTTTCCTTTATGTGAGATAAATAAATATTCGATGACGACTTCATTGTTTAATTATTTTCCTATTTGCTCCAGCTACCCGGTTAGAGATGATGTAGAAATCGGTAGGATTTCTGGTGAACATGCTGATGATTTTTTGGGTTATATTGTGTTACAAGATAGAAGTAGAGGAAGTATTTTAATGGATAAATGGCATGACGTTGATGATGATTTGAAAGACGACATATGAACCCATATCAATGTATTTATTTTAAATTTTATGCGTTTAGTAAAGTGTGTTTTTTTAATACTAATAACATCTCTATTGTGTAAATATAGGAAGTGTTCAATGTTAGTCTAGATGATAAGTATGTGAGAAAGGAAATGCTTGCATATTTTGGTGAACGTTGGAGAGGCTTTAATACATAACTCACTCATGATTATATTAAACATGGATAAGATAAAGAAAAGACTCAATACGAGGTGTATTCATTTATTGATTAAGATGTTTGGGAGAAGTTTGTAGAGTCTCGCACCACTCCTGCATTCTTAACAAAGAGCCAAAAAGGAAAGGAAAATAGAGCTAGAAATATATATCCACATAGGTTGTCTCGTGGAGAATAACAAAGACTTGCAAAATTTTGATTGAAGAAAAAAGGAAACAAAGGGAGGAAGAGCTGAGAGGTTCTATAAGTCTTGATCATACTCCATCTCCACTATCACGCCACAAGAAATAAAAGAGGGCACGTCAAAGAAAAGACGACGAATTCACATCAAATGTTACGCGCGAAGTGACTCAAAGGATTGTAAGTATATACTTTTTCAACAATATTTATTTTAGTTAAATCAATTTGGTAAAGATGAAATTTCATATGTGTTTGTAGAATGATCTGATTGAACAAACTAAACTCGATCTCTTCACTTCACAAGTTCATCATGACATCTTTGTAGAAGCGATTGGAATCGAGGAGCATCTTAGGCGTGTTTGTAGTATTGGTAGAGGCATTGACTTCAAGGTACATTTTGGACGCTCTAAATCATCTAGAGTGAAAATCAGTAAGAGAGAGATTGAAGAGATTGTTGTTGTTGAGTTTGGGAAGGAAAGAGAGAAGTGGAAGGAGGAGCAAGATAGGAAGTTGGAGGAGGAGGGGGAGTGGAATTTTTGCAGATGGTACAAGCGAAGATATTGGAGGAGGAGAGGGGAGGGGGATTTTTGCAAATGGTACAAGCGAAGATATTGGAGGAGGAGAGGGAGAGGTTGTTGCAGACGTTGTAGGAGAGTGTCCAGAAGAACCAAGAGGAGCGAGAGAGGATGAATGAGGAGAAGGTGTCTGAGAAGTGTACTCGCTATGTGCTTGAGGTATAAGATGTATATTGTTGTTATTATTCTTTGTGTATTTTAATTTTGGATTGTATTTATGTTGTTTGTATGATGCCGAAATTGAGTTCTTTGGATGTATTCAGCCACACAAATTCAAACCAGTTAGAAATTCAAGAGAAAGTTTCGACAGGTACAAGCGTGACACGTACTTTTTCTTCCAACCAGGGCAGTATTGAAGCCTCATCATCAAAACAAGATAGCCTTAAGAGACTAGAGATGATGATGGCGAGTATTCCAGACCCATTCTTGGGTATTATATTAAGTTATGATATAGGACAGTTATTCGTACTTGATAAGCCTCCTATATATGAATTTTTGAAGGGAGATGAGGACCTAGACAATTCCATATTAAAATTTTGGAGCTCGTAAGTATAGTTTTATGCTGATTTCCATTTGTATTTATACGTTCTGATACTTTAACATAAAGATTTGACCTTGCAGGTACATCCATGAGATTTGTGCTGAAAGGAAGCTTCCAAACAAGTATTTTAACTTAGATGCTTCAAAGATTGCTCTTACTCGTGATTCGCCAGGACAAAATATCAAAGAGTACGTACAAGACAAGTTGGATAATGATAAAGAGAACATCAGAGATTGTTATTTGGCCTTGTGTTTTACTGCGAGTAAGTATATATTAATTTTGTGTTTTCATTTATAAATCAATTTATCCATATTATTAATTATTCTAAATTACTATGCAGTCGACATTGTCAACTACTTATTATATGCCGCAAGAGAAATACTATAGTTTTGTTTTGCTCGTTGCACTCTGGACTGCCTGAAGTCGTGACTAAAGCTTTGAATGGATAAGTGGTGTTAATTTTAATACTCAAATTTTAACTTTAGAATTGAATAGTTTTTATTCATGTTTAATTTTAATGATGGGCATGTGTAGAGCGATGAGAGAATATAATGCGCTCACACAAAATTTATTTGGTAAAAAGCCAACATATGTTTACCCAAAAGTAAGTATAAAATACTTGTATTTTTTGACATTATATTATTTGTGTGTATTAGTGTGACATAAATATATGAAAATTATTTGTAGTGGCGAAAACAACCCGACAACCATT